GGTTGCTCTTCTCAGCACACATTCCAGCTTGTCAACATCCTTCTTAAATTGTGGTGCCCAGAATTGGACACAGTATTCCAGGTGTGGTCTGACCAAGGCAGAATAGAGTGGGACTATAACTTCCCTTGGTCTGGACACTCTACTTCTGTTGATTTAAGTCTGTTGCCTTTGTTCCATCTTCTAACTGCATGTTTCAAGTGGAGATGGTCCTGAGATTTCCAACCTCTATACACGGAAGCCTGTGCTTTGCATTCAAGCTGCAAAAGAGAGATCTGGTTCAAGGAAGGGGGAAAGTAATAGGTTTTAGATTAGAAAGAAGTGGCTGTTGCCTTGACACTCCAAATGTGCAACCCCTCTAGGAACAACTGTAAAGAGAAGGCTCTCTCATTGCAGAGTTAAGGATGTTGTCACATCAGCAGGCAGCAGACTAATCATTTCATTCTGCCCTTTTCCAATCAGGGCTTCACGTTCTAAGCGCTAAATGGCAAGCTGGGCTGTGTTGCGTATTTCAAACATTCCCCTTTATTTGGCGGGCATCTCAGCTATACTGTTGCGGGAGGCGGGGAATACACAAATTCATCAAAGAGAAGCCCTTTTAGGAATATTCGTTCTAGCCATATGTCCAATGGTGTTTTAATAATAATAATAATAATAATAATAATTTATTATTTGTACCCCGCCCATCTGGCTGGGTTTCCCCAGCCACTCTGGGCGGCTTCCACAAAGACCAAAATACACTAAGATGTCACACATTAAAATCTTCCCTGAACAGGGCTGCCTTAAGATGTCTTCTGAATGTCAGGTAGTTGTTTATCTCTTTGACATCTGATAGGAGGGCGTTCCACAGGGAGGCGCCACTACCGAGAAGGCCCTCTGCCTGGTTCCCTGTAGCTTTGCTTCTCACAATGAGGGAACCGCCAGAAGGCCCTCGGCGCTGGACCTCAGCATCCGGGCAGAACAATGGGGGTGGAGACGCTCCTTCAGGTTCTTTTAGATGCATTCAGGGGTAAGGATCTCTTTCCTGATGTAAACCAGGGCTGTGTCAAATTAAATTAGAAATGATATGGAGACAGGCTAAAGCAGCCATAATTCTTTGTGAACAAGTTGTCATTTCTGAGCACCCCTTACATATGGTGGTGGTTTTATGCTTTCCACTGCACTTCTGATTCCCTGTTTGGCTTTCAGATCCTCTTCTTAGTTGCTAATCAGTTGGAGCCAGCACTCAGGAAGTAAATCTCCCACTGCCTAGGGTTTTTTATGATCTCTCCTGCTGTTGTTCCTCCTCCTGCAGATGCTTCCCCCTTCTGTTTTCTTATCAAACAAAGGTGATGGCCTGAATATTGCAGATTCATTGGCTGGTGAATTTTCCTCTCCTTAAAAAGTAGGAGACAATCGTGCCTCGCGTCTTAATTCTTTGCAAATTAATTTCTCATTTTCTTAGTAGCTACCAACTTGATAGCCAATAGTATAGGTATATAACACTCCATGCTGTCACATTTCTGGAAGTTAATATCGCAGTATAAAACTGGAGTCCTGTTTGTATGAACTGTTGCCTCCGTGTGGGCCTTGTTCTAATAAGTTTTTATTTATTATAACATTTATATCCCACTTTTCTTCCAAGGAGTTCAAGGTGGCATATATAGTTGGCATATATAGTTAAACTGAAAGACTGTGACTGGCCCAAGGTCACCCATGGATATATGGAGAGAGTATGGAGAGTGCTCAATGAAATGAGGTTGAATTCTGAAAAGGCAGAAGTACTGTTTCTGGGGAACAGGAGGTGGGCAGATGTGGGGGACTCCCTCAATAGCGTAACTGTGCCCCTGAAGGACCAGGTGCATAGCCTGGAAGTCATTTGGGACTCACAGCTGTCCATGGAGGCACAGGTCAATTCTGTGTCCAGGGGAGCTGTTTACCATCTCCATCTGATATATCAGCTGAAACCCTACCTGCCTGCACACTGTTTCACCAGAATGGTACATGCTCTGGTTATCTCCCACTTGGACTACTGCAATGCACTCTACATGGGGCTACTTTTGAAGGTGACTTGGAAACTGCAACCAATCCAGAATGTGGCAGATAGACTGGTGACTGGGGGCAGCCACCAGGACCATATACCACTAAAAGGTTATATGGCTCCCAAAATATTTTCGAGTGTTGGTGCTGACCCTTAAAGCCCTAAATGGCCTCAGCCCCATATACCTGAAGGAGCATCTCCACCCCCATCATTCAGCCTGGACACTGAGGTCCAGCTCCAAGGGCCTTCTGGCAGTTCCCTCACTGCAAGAACTGAGGTTACAGGCAACCAGGCAGAGGGCCTTCTTGGCAGTCCAGCGCTCCCTGTGGAACGTCCTCCCACCAGATGCCAAGGAGATAAACAACTATATGACTTTTAGAAGACATCTGAAGGCAGCCCTGCTTAGGGAAGTTTTAAATGTTTGATGACTTCCTATGTTTTTATATTTTGTTGGAAGCTGCTCAGAGTGGCTGGGGCAACCCAGTCAGATGGGCGTGGTACAAATAATAAAATTATGATGATGGTGAAGTGGGGAATAGAAATCTAGTCTCCTAGTCTGACACTCCAACCACTATACCACATTGGCTTACTCAACAAAAACTTCTAAGTGGTTTACACTATAGATAGGGCTGTGCACAATACAGAAGTGTTTTATTTGGGCAAATATGTATTTTATTTGATTGGGGATATCCCTGTCTGGGATCTCCAAACAGGGACTGCAGCAAATTTGACTGGCTGCCATTGCCAAGAGCTGACAGGCAAACTATTCCTAGAAGCTTCTACTCAATATTTCCTCCAACTTCTTATTGAGCATCACGGTGGCCGGAGCTGGTCTAGGCTTTCTATGGCGATACATAGCAATGGAGAGTACAAGCAGAGATTCCTTCAATTATTAAATATACAAAGAATCTCTAGAGAAAGCTGAGCAGCATGGCTATATCATAACTTGCTTGTACTTGGCTAAATCTGTCTATATAGATTAGCCTTTCTGAATAGATTGCAGTGTAGTAGAAACTGACATAACATGCCTGGGCTCTTTCCCAGTCTGCTCTGGGCCATCATTCAGCTGGGAGACTTCACCTGTATATGGTTAGTCCCTGAGAAACCCTCACAATTCCTCCTTGCCCATCAGCCTTCCATATTGTCCGGCCTCATTCCCAGCAGAAGCTGTTAGGTGTAAGCTCAAAAGAGATCTTTATTCAGAAGGGAAATGGTACAGGCTTGGCATTGGACTCTGAGTTCAGGAGTTCAGGAATCAGGAAAGATGTTCAGGACTGGACAGAGGCAATGAAGATGTCCCAGAAGCTTCCACACCCCACCTGCCAAACTTTTAAATATATTTGCCATTCACCCCATTCATTATAGCTACAACTGTATTTACTCAAGTTTTCACTTTTACAGTGCTCAGTTAAGTGAACCACTGGACCATGTGTGTTTAGATAATAATGGTATCTCACTGGTGAGTTTTCATTTGCATTTTTTGCTTCTTTGATAACTTTCCAAACCTCACAATATGTTCCATCGATCCTACAATGTTTGAAGTTAATGTAGGTAAAACCAAATTGAGAGGAAAATATTTATAAATGGGGAAATGGCGTCCTATCCCATGTCTATTTCCCCCGCTTCATTTAGCTTGTGCACAGCATTCCCTAAGGCATCAGAGAACATTTCAGCCAGGGAACTGAAATTTGGTTCAGTTCATGAACCTACCTAATTTTCACTTTGCAGAACAATACACAAAGCAAAACACAACCAGCTTTTGAAATTCACACTTCTCTGAATTTTGCAATTCAGTTAATCGGTCACGTGTACAAAAATGCATGTAGCAGGGCGAAGTGAGCATAAAATTGCATATATTAGTGAAAATAACATTTGTTATTTTGAAGAAAACTGATTGCAAAATTGGGTATTATAGGAAAAATACACATGAAAATGATGGTGAAATATTCATGAAGACCCATTTGGGCCGGGATATGTAAAAATGACAGACTGATGTGGAGATGTATATAACTAAAGACTGGGAAATTGAGAAAGTAAGAAAAACTGAAATGGGTGGATTATCCCATCCCTAGTTCCAAATTGGGCATGGCAATATTTGCTTACATTTCTGAAATATTTACTAAAATAGTTGGTTAAAGAGGTACAGTGGTACCTCGGGTTAAGTACTTAATTCGTTCCAGAGGTCCGTACTTAACCTGAAACTGTTCCTAACCTGAAGCACCACTTTAGCTAATGGGGCCTCCTGCTGCTGCCATGCCACAGGAGTACAATTTCTGTTCTCATCCTGAGGTAAAGTTCTTAACCTGAAGCACTATTTCTGGGTTAGCGGAGTCTGTAACCTGAAGTGTATGTAACCCAAGGTACCACTGTGTAGCATTATATAGGTGCCATCTATCATTTAAACAAAATAAATTTATTTATTTAGTTTTTCAGATTAAAATTTTACAGTCACATGTCCAATATACAACATCAAAATGAGATTCCAAGGACTTCCCTCCTCCCCTTTGTGGGTCCTATTGTTAATCATTTCCACTTGCATCTTTTATAATAATCCAAATCTTTTACCTCTCCATTGTGTCCAAAATTCACCATTAAACTACAAGTGATATTCCAGTCCTACTAACGATTTTAACTGTTTTCAATTATCTTTAGGATAAGTTATAAATTTCCACCATTCCTTATTAATATTTTGGTCTTCCTGATTTCTGATTCTTCCGGTCATTTCAGCCCTTTCGGCATAATCCATCAACTTGATCCGCCGTTCTTCTCCAGTAGGGACTTTATCTTCTTTCCATCTCTGGGCCAATAACATCCGCTCAGCTGTGGTCACATACATAAATAGTCTTATCAGCTTTCTTGGGATTTTGGCACCTAGGTGCCATCTATCCTAACTTGACTTATGCACAACTTCCTAGAATTGTAAAGCTGGAAGAGACCCTGAGGATCATCTAGTCAAACTCCCTGAAACGCAGGAATGTGCAGCTGTCTCATACAGGGATTGAACCTGCAACCCTGGGGTTATCAGCACCACGCTATAACCAGCTGAGCTATTTATCGTACAAAGTTTCACAAAACATCTTTAAACAGCTGGAAAACAGCAGGGAAAGAGGGAAGGGTGTGACCTTTCCAGCCACCACATGTTTGCCCTAAATCAATACTCACCCAGGTAGCTATCCATTCTCATGCCTGCTTCACCATCTAAACCATGTGCTTGTGGCAGCCACTTCTGGAAACAGTGGCGTCGCAACAGGGAGTGTGTGTGGGGGGGTTCACCCCGGGTGCCATGTCTGGGGGGTGACAAGAAGGCACCCTGTGGGGGCTCACAGCAGCTCAAGCAGCCATCACGCAGCCGTAGCCACATGCGGAGGATCCTTTGTTTGTGGCTACAGCCGCGAGCAGAGGATCCTGGCACTGGCAGCAAACCGCTATGTACATCGCATGTGTGGCGCTGCATATGCGCTGTACATAGCGGTTTGCCGCCAGCACCACTGGGATCCCTCTGTCGCCACTACAGCCGCGAACGGAGGATCCACTACATGCAGCTGTAGTGGCGATGGAGGGAGCGCTGGCAGCGGCAAACTGCTATGTACATCGCATGTGTGGCGTTGCTACATACAGCCCATGCGTCATACGTAGAGAGTCTGCACATGCGCCCTACGTAGCGACGACCCGCCCCAGGTGTCACAACGCCTTCGTTCGCCTCTGCCTGGAAATGCCAATGAGGGGAAAGTAGCTGAGTGTGCATGATTTGAAATGGTGAAATGGCAGGTGCAGAAAGGGAAAACCATTCTTTTTCTGCCGCTCCTCCACTTTAGACCATTTTCGCAAAGCCCTTGGCTGTTTCCAAGTGTTTGTGTGTAATGTGAGTAAAAAAAAAATTACAAAAGGAAAGCATCCAGAGGTAAAGAAAAGTAAGTTCTTCCCCTCCTCCCCAGAACATTGAGTTTAAAATTCCTGCATTCATATACGATTGCCCTTTCGCTTTCAAACTTAAAAAAAAATAGTCTACATTACTTTCAACTGAAGGATTGTAACATGACTGTCTTGACACTTCTCTGTTGATTTCGACAGGGTTTGGACCTTCTCCCACAATTATCAGGCATTAAGGCATTTTAGCATCAGCAGATGTGCACTTCACTGTCATGATGTTCCCAACTGCGCCACATCTCCTCTTGCCAAACTTGTTAATTTGTTTGTACTTTTAACTGCATCTGCATCATAATATAAAGCACATTGCTGTTTTCCAGGTATTGCCTTGCTTACACTTCTGGTTTGTATCTGAGAAATAAAAGGGAAATTTGTCATAAGCTCTCTTTGCTCCTAGAATATTTTTTATTCTACCACTCTTGGACTTTTTTTGGTTTTCTTGATCTAAAAAAAATCGTATCTGTGGTCACATACATACCACTTTAAATAGCCATGAATTTCCCCAGAAAATCCTGGGAACTGTAGTTTGTCAAGAGTGCTGAACATTCTTAGGAATTGCCTATTACCTTTAGAGAGCTACAATTCCCAGAGTGGTCTAACAATCGAACCCTCTTTTGGGGGAACTCTGGGAATTGTAACTCTGTAACAGGAATAAGGGCCTCCTAACAACTCTCAGGACCCTAAACAAAAGCCAGTTTCAGGGATTCTTTAGAGCAGAGGTTTTTCAACCTTTTTTTAGGCAACAGCTCTCTTAACCATGGGTAGGGAAACTAAGGCCCAGGGGCCAGATCCGGCCCAATCGCCTTCTTAATCTGGCCCACAGACGGTCTGGGAATCAGCATGTTTTTACATGAGTAGAATGTGTCCTTTTATTTAAAATGCATCTCTGGGTTATTTGTGGGGCATAGGAATTCGTTCATTTCCCCCTCCCCAACAAAAAATATAGTCCAGCCCCCCACAAGGTCTGAGGGACAGTGGACTGGCCCCCTGCTGAAAAAGTTTGCTGACCCCTGCTCTTAATCAACTACATTCTTTCTGTGCCCCCCCCCTGTGGGGCTCAGAAGCCCAGTTATATCACCGCTTGCCTGCAGAGCTGGCAGCCTCTCACCTTTTCTCGAACACCATCCCCTTCTGGAGTGTTCCCTCAACCTTTTCTCCTCTCCTCTGGGAGTCCTCTGGGCAGCCGCTGCTGCCACCCCTCATCTCTGAGATGTCCCCCTCCCCAAAGAGAGGTGCCTGGGACTTATCTGTCCATTCCCAACAGCAAGAACTGGTGGACTAGCTGGCTGGGCTCCCCCACCGCCTTGCTTGCTTACTCTGAGGCCATCTCAGCTCCTGGCAACCAGCACCCCCTGAAAACCCCAGAGGTACCATTCGCCTACGGAGCTTGTAGCCAGGGCTGCTGCAACAAACAGCAGTGCAAGCTTTTGGGGGGCAGGGATACAAGAGGGCATCAGGAAGGAGGGAAGGAAAGAGGGGCAGAGGCCAGTGTTGCCCATGGCTCCCCTGACCATCATTCAAGGCACCCCAGGGTGCCATGGCACACTGGTTTAAAACCACTGCTTTAGAGGTAGACTCTTTAAAGTGGCATGATAGTGCTTCAAATATATAATGCACATAGGAATTTGTTTCCACTTTATATTCAGCTGGATATTTTAGTTTTGTTTCCTATTCTCATTCTGATGATTTATCAGAGACCAGGAACTTCATTGAGACTTTAAAAAAAATCCAGCTGCGCAACAGAAATTAGTTTTGTTTCTGGTTTTACAAAAGCATGTAGTGATGACAGCTAAACATCCTAATTTGTTTTTCTGTTTGAAGAATCCTACCTATAGGTCCTTTATCAAATCAGGAGTGCTTGTTTTGCATATATTATCAAGGATGAAGAATGTAGCTTTTGCAATGTGCTAAAAATAAACAATATTTTTTGCAGTTCTACTGGTGTGGGTGCTAAGTTCAAAAAACCGTATTAAGATTTTTATTCTAATTGTGTTTACATTGTGCAATATGAGAGAAATTGTGATGCACTCTTCTTTTTGACAGACTTATCTTTCTAAATCCTTTTTCTACCCAGGCAAGCACAAAATAAAAGCACAAGAATCTTTGCTATATGCTGTCTGAGGGAACAAATTGCTAATGGGGGAGATGGAGTTCATTTTTCTTTTCTCGACACAGAAATAAAAGATCAGATAGAGTTGGGCTAGCTTCTGCTTCTGTTGATTTTGAACGTACAAGTCCAGCCAAGTGACAGAGGTTTCCATAATGCTGTCTCAGGTGTTTATAAGGAACAGCAGGAATAGAGAGCTATACAATGCAGAGGTGCCAACTTCTCTAAAAGATTGCGGGGGCCCAACATGGCGTCCTTACGTCGCATGAGCAACGTCGCCAGGAGCCAAGAGGAAGAGCTGAACATGGCGGCTGGTGGTCCCTGTCCTCCCCTCCCCCAGCCATGCAAGGGAAGGGTGGGGAGGGGGATCTGCCGACCACTGAGCTGTGCTGCTTCCAGCTCCACATTCACCTTCCTCTACCCTCTGAACAAAGGGTGGTGGTCCCTCAAATAAAACATTGGGGGGGGCAAAGTGCCTTGGCCCCTAGGAGTTGGCCCCAATGATACGTTTCAGACCATTGTCACCCATTCACATCCCAAAAATTCAGAATAATAAGTGGTATGTTGGAAAGTGTGTGCGATTATTCTAGCCTGAGAAGGCATGGATGAGCACCATTCAGAATGCCTTTACATGTTTTATAAGTACTCATAAAGCAATCTGGCAAAAACCAAATTTCCAGCCAATTCACTCCTGCAAGCAATAACCAGCAGTCCCTTCTGTCTACCTCGTCCCACTTCCCCAAATGTGCGTCTAAAGCATATAAGGACTGACTTGCCTTCTGCCCAATGTTGGAGCTGTCCAAGGTCTTGTAATCTGTTTCTGATTCTGCTCTCTGCATGCACTCTGCTCTGCTTGCTGCCTCATATCTGCTGCCTGTTGGGTTCCTATGGCACGGGTGGCTAACCTGTGAGCCCTGTTGCAAACTCACTAGGGGAAACGCATGTAGCCAAAAAAGGGCAAAATAGCTATCCTCATACTCTTGCGTATGCACACACACAAACACAATCAAGATTCAAAGAGGTACGTATCTCCCTTATTTGCTTCTCAGTCGGGGCATGCTCCTACTCATCACGGCACTAGAGTTTGTAGGAATGATCGCTGGGTTGTGGAGCACACTCCCACCCGTGGGCAGCCTCAGCTGCCTGCCCGCATGACCTTGGGGTGTGGAGCACACCCCTCCTCACAGATAAAGCCACAGCTTTACACATCTTGCCCTCTGTCTAACCTTTTGCAGTCTCAGTAGTCTGCCGTGTCCTGTCTGTGACCTTTGTCTCTTTTGTCATACATTGTGCAAGGGGGAAATGACGCGGTGGAAACAGGTGCCAAAATAACTTTGTACCACCCCACGATCTCAGGACTGGAAGATGTGTAAAGGTCACAGCCCCAAATGTATCTGCCTGGGTTTGCATATTGTGTCAATAAAAGGAGCCTCCACAGAGCTGGCCGGCAGCTTGCTTGCAGCTCACCTGTGCGCAGCTCACCTGCATTATCAACTCCTGCCTCATGTCCTTCACTTCAGAGTTGGCACTTCTGCAGTTGGCAGGGAAATAAATATTGTGACCCCCAAATTAAAATAATACATGCATGTGACATTTGCACACAGCTCAATAGCCTGCTTGCCTTCCTCCTCACAACACTTTGGACCAGATTTGGGGTGTGGGGGCTGCAATGTGAGAAGTGGAAGTCTCATTTGTGTGAGTGGATGCCCACAAGTGGACAAGCATCCTGACACCATTGAATGTTGCCCATTAAGATGACAATTTCAGCTAGCCCCATCCTTGAAAGCGGCAACACGGAATACTAAAGATATATGCAGAATATGCAGCAATTCGTCATGTGATTTTCTCAGTCAGATCCCATAAAAACTGTGGGCTTGGACTCACCTATACTGCTAATAGTATACTAAAAAAACCTACTACTGGTAAATAAATATTCCTGACTTCAAAGTCAAATTAGTAGTTTTATAGTTAAAAACAGTGTGATGGCCAGAATTTAAGAGGACTCTAAATAGGTTTCTTGAA